ATTAATGCAAAATGATGAATGATATTACACAATTCAAATATTATATCATATAGCAAAATATAATTATGTCACCATCATAAGTGTCTCAAACATTTTTCATGATGGCATTCAGTGTATGGTCTTGGTGCTCTACATTTGGAGTTCAAAGTTTGGCATATGTAACAAATAGTAGGTGGTGTACCTTGTTATATATTTACAATGCATTCCTTACAATCATCTCCAAATATGAGACCATTTTCACCAAAATCTAAGTATGGAATTTCACTTCTATTCAATTAGAAAGCGATAAACATTCCAATGATATAATAAATGTTTTGAACATGTATTCCAAATTTTTAACCCTAACCCTTATGCCCTGGATGGGCCATGTGCAAAATGAAGGTGTTAATTGAGACATATTTCAGATAAATGCAATTACTAAAAAAAATGGGATTGGGCTAATCAAGAGTTATCTAAAATAAATTTAATTTTCATGACATAACATAAGTCTAATCAAATTAAATCATATGATAAATATATTAATGTAATATAGATCACTCTCACTTATCATAATGTTTGGACAGCTCCAAAGCTTGGAAGATAGTTGACATTTTGGCTCACATGTTTAAGTATTTTTATGTCAATGGTTAAGAAGTTATGACATACAACAGCCACTTTTTAAGGTTGCATTCAATTGTTACATTTTTGTAGCTGTTTTCAATAATTTATCGGGTGTTGACATGATGTCATCTTAATGACTCGTTTACATTAATTTCTAAATTTGCTAATGGAAATTTTTCTAAAACTCTAGAAAGAATGAACTATTTGGGATTTTATGGTGAGCTATTGCAATCATCCATGCATTTTTGAGAGTAACTCATTTTTTAAGATGAACCAAACTAGACTAGATTTTTACCTCACTTGAACTAACCATAGCACTATGCAAAATCAATTCGAAATACTGTCAAACAGTTGAGATAAAAATCTTATTGTAAATTGTATGCATGTGCTTTAGTTGCTCTGCAACGCAGTTTAATATAGACACTGATACGCTAACTTACTTTGGATGTCTGGGTGCACATACTTTTTAATATGTTCTAATATGTGTCGTATCATGAAATAAACTTGGTTACTGTGTATACTGCTTAATCATACAAAAACAGATTTATTTGAGCACATATACATTTTCATGATAAATGATATATTTATCTGATTCCTATGCCATATCATTCATTCAGTGATAAAAATAAGATTTACTTACTATGAATTAGTCCAGAAAGGACAAGGTGCAATTATTGGCAAATATCCCTATGGTCAAAATGAATCATTCGTAGGTGTAACATGAAGAATAAAATGTCATATAATACTTTGGAAAATATTAAAGTGCTCGGACACACATAAGCTGAGATAGGGATCATTTCGTTCAGTAAGGTTGTATATTGACTTACATGGGGCTGTGCACCATTGACTTAACATGAGGATATCAGCAGATCCCAATAGAGGCCATTGGTTTCCATTGATTATCACAGAAATACCAAAAATACACTATGACCTGAATCTATTGCAAACTTAATAATTTCACAATACGACACAAATGGTTTATCTCATCAAATGTGCAAATATGAAGTTTGCAATCGATTCAGGTCATACTTAAAATTAAAAGATTGTACATTTTTTCATCATTTTTTCCCTACAAAATGGCTATAGAAAAATGCTCCAAAAAACAACTTTTACACTTATCAAATATCATACAAGTTAGTAAAACCAAAGATTATACTATTATATTTCATTATGTAGTAACATATTTGGATAAGATGCAGGGATGCGTAGGATGTAAATGGATTTTGACAGACACAAAAATACTTCCTGGTGGCCTATACATCAATACAGTGCTGAATATAGGTCAACAAGATACTAGTGTGCATATAAATGTAATAATTGAAGCAGAATACTCATTTTGAAAAATCAGATGAATTATTTTTTTTCCCATGGGGAGATCCCAATGGAGGGTGTATAAGGTCCTTTCTATAGCCTAAGTATTTTACAAAGAGGATTGGCTCACAAGGGGGGGAGCCCCAGAGTTTTAGCGATGACTGACATAAAACGTCTCTTGCGTACCACCTTCATTTGCACAAATTCTCACCAGTTAATTTTCGAACATAGCGAGTTGTCCTGATGTTTTAATCGATGTAAACATATTCCTTACATATTTTTTTATGTTGATGTGAAAAACCAAGCTATGATATTGGTTAATACGCCAGGAATAAATATAATATTATTCGAAGTGTTATTAGAAAATTTTGAATCCACCATTTTTGCTTATCGATTTGGACCAATCAGAGGTGTATGTCATCTCAATACAGGTTTATATTATAAGCGTATGTCATCTTTGAACTCTGGTGTTAATCCCCCTCTTGGTTCTAACTCAATATTTTTATCTTCAAGCAATTAGTTCATGGCTGATCGTGCCTGCATATTTCTATGGCTGCAAGAAGAATGGCCTATATTCTAGTGATAGCGATGACAAAGACGAAAATATTGTTAATCTCTGACATATAGCTATCCAAAAGATTTGAACTGATATCTTGATCACTTCTTAAGTGTTTTGAAATTTGTGTTATGAAATTGTTTGGTGATAGGTTCAAAACTTGCGATTGAAATTCTGAATTGAAAAAATGGCAGCTATTTATGATTTTGAATTTTGTAATCATGAGATGACTTCATACGTCTTTTTCCATGACAACAAATAGACAAACATGTTCTAATGGTAGGGTATTTGTAGCTTAATTAGGTTTCTATTTTTTATATTGTGAAACAAAATGTTAAGATTTACAAAGGTAAACTGTCTGATGAAGATGTATGAATACATTGGAAATTTGTAAATCTCTACATTTTGTTTTGTTTTTAACACTTATAAACATATTACGTTTCATATTGTGTGTAACCATTTTGTGACTTTGTTAAGATATAACGTGGTCTTTCTGGTCATGTCTGCAGAGCTCACATTCGTTATGTTGTGACTCTGACAGTTCTATATCTAGTTGTTGATGTGATCTTAAAGTGTTGCATTTGTTTTTCTTACTTTAAAAGCTCCTTGTAGCCTTTTAATTACATATTTGTTAATTTCCGCGACAGTTTAGTATAAAGTTAATAATATTAAACTAAATTTACAAATCATAAATCCCTTGTTATTTAAGAACAATGCTCAACTCTGCCTAATTTGTGATTTTAGACTTCGGGAAAAATAATACTAAACTGCAAAGCATTATTTCTATTGGGAAATAGGAAATTGGGTATAAGGTTAAGTCTCATTTCAATTTCACACTTGTGCCAGTAGTAAATCAAGAATAGATGCTAACATCCTGTTGCAAATTGTCCTGCATGGATAATAACCCAGATGCCAAAATTAGTGACCAGTTTCACTACCAGGTTGCTAATTTGGGTCAGATAACATGGCAGATATACATCAGTTTAAGTGGATCGATTTTCATATAACCCTTATATGTCTGATAAATATTCAAATGAGAATGTGTCCAGTAAAAGAAAATATTATCTGTCCAACACAATAAAAGATGTCTCACTTTTGTGATTTTATAAAATGGGGCCTAAGGGAATCTAACTAACCTACAGGAGTCATATTTTCAAAGAAAATTAACTTGATAGATCATTTTTTAAACCACATTTCTAGCTTTAATTTTACAGTTAAGTTTAGTTTAGTTTAAACTGAACTTCAAATATGATATCACTTTGACTGAATTTTGAATATTTAATGACATAAATCAAGATTATTTCTACTTGCATCTTGTGTATTCAGCGATCTCTCCTGCCCCTGAGGTAAATACCACATTGAAGCAAGCAAAATTACATCAACTTGAGATAGACTTTAACCCCCTCACAAAATGAAAAAATAGAGAAAATCCTTTAGAATGCAATATTGGATTTTGCTTTGAGCTTGAATATACTATGGCATTCTGATACTCATAGCATTTTTCTGTTTCACATCTCAGGACAGAGAAGAAATGAGATGGCATGGTTTATCATGATGATACTATGGCACTTACAAAAAGGGAAAAATGCAAAATAAAGAACACAATCCTAAATCATATACAACTGTATTGTAAGTCTTAAAATTTTCACTTCACCAAACCACCAAGAAGTGGTGACTTATTGTTCTAGCCATTATTTTTTGTTACCTGTATGAAAATTTGGCATGCAGTATCTGTAATCAGACCAGGTGATAATGACATTTCGTACTTTGTCATGTTTATGCTTTTTTCATTTGAGAGGTTTCATAATTTATCACATCTGCACAAATAAATCTTGTTTATATAATCATAAGTTAAAGGACACAACTTGAGAGAATATTTGATAATGACTTATCTACTGACAAAACAAATAAATTGTTATTATAAAATAAATATTGAATAAAATGAAATATGAAGTAAAATGAGGAATATCAGTTAAATATTTCAAGTAGTTACCTTTAAGAATGTTTGACTTCTAATTCTAATTTTATTCATGATAAACGATATCTTCAATCAATTAAATATGTATACGGTATTGCTTTTCAATTTTAAAAGACGTTCTTTATTTTTTATCTTGTAACTCTTTCTTTTATTACAACATGTTTACCTGATGAATTTGTTTAAAATAAAACACAATATATCAAGTCATCTCCTTATTATTTATCAGACCTTCAAACATATCTGTCCCATCATGGGCTTTCAATAGAATGCCCATGGTCCCATATAACAGTTTAGGATGTACCTCATTATTAACAAGGGTAGAATTTTTGTCAAAAAATCAGAACCGTTTTCAATGAAACAATATCAGAGCACTTGGACATTTTTGGTCAATAGAATAACACTGTGAGCCAAATTTTTGTAAAATTGGGTATTTTTCAAAAAATTATCCTCAACTTGTCACTTTCCCCATTCTTGTTGAGTGTTCATATGATATTAAAACCTGAACTATGATGCAGACATACAAGTATATAGTTTTTGTTTGTTTTGTTCTTAAAGGTTGTAACCAAATGCTGCTTTACGAAGATAAAGTACAGCGTGGCCCCGACCTAGAGACATATTCCAATATAACTGCTGAAAACTGTAGCAAACTTTGTCTAGAAAATATGCAATGTGTCGCTGCATCATTTGACGTTAATGTAAGCCCAGAATGCTGGCTTCACCATGGCAATGGCGCAATAGAGAACAGAAAACAAGCACTATTGTTTAAGAAGGATTGCTCAGGTCAGTAAAAGTCGTAATAATTAAGAGACTCCCCCCAAATGTTAGCAAAACCATATGAATCCTTGTATAGTCATTAAGAGTGACGGAGTCCTTGTCTCACTAGAGACAATCCTATGAAAATAAATCTTAAGTTTGAGACGTCCCATTTGGGATTACTCATCCTTGAAAGTCACATGACTGAAACTGACCAATCAGATACATATGGATTTGATACGATTGCATCAAATCTCCCCCTACCCTAGCTCTGTTTATTTGGTATTTCCCTTTCCCTCAGAAGATGGTACATGTATGTGCTAGTTAGGTGCTTATAAGGAAAAGCAATATTACATATATGTAAGTGATGCTTTTTGCTTGCGAAAATTAAATTTTAAAATTAAGTGTGGATTTTTAAGATCGAATGTTCTAATGATCCATTGATATGGTTTATAAAGGTTTTGGTGCCTAGATTATGGTTTATTGGCCCATAAAAAAATACCCTGCACGCAGAGTCTAGTTATTAAGTACTCTCTGCCTAGTATAGACTATATTACAGTTTAGCAGCCCCGCCCCGAAGATTGGTGCCTGTAATAAATTATTCCAAATCTTCCAAGCTGACCCTTTTTCAACCAATCAGCGAAGTGGATGGAACACGTACTAAATTTGTGCTCATTAACTATGCGTTGATATAATAGGAAATAACCATATAGAAAGTCGTCCGTATACGACGATGAACTCTGATTGGCTCGGTGAGATCAGAGATTTATTGTAAACTGAAAGAGTGAAGACGAAGCTCTCTTTTAAGAAGTGAAGTTGAACAAATGCAAAGGGTAATAAAAAAATTAAATTTTAGAATTATGTGTGGATTTTTAAGATCAAATGTTCTATTAATCCATTGATATGGTTTATATAGGTTTTGGTGCCTAGATTATAGTTTATTGGCCCATAAAAAATTAAATTTTAAGATTATGTGTGGATTTTTAAGATCAAATGTTCTATTAATCCATTGATATGGTTTATATAGGTTTTGGTGCCTAGATTATAGTTTATTGGCCCATAAAAAATTAAATTTTAAGATTATGTGTGGATTTTTAAGATCGATTGTTCTATTGATCCATTGATATGGTTTATAGAGGTTTTGGTGACTAGATTATGGTTTATTGGCCCATAATATAGAGTATGACCATGAATCATGAAATATTATTCATGAGTTTGCACTAAAATAATTTGTGAATGCCAGTTTTCAGGAAATAGCCTCAAGGAAAGTGTCAATAGACAGGATTTTCCAAATGAATATATTTGGCATTATTTCCCTCAGTGACAACACTATTGTTTAAGTTTACATTGCATGGGTATAGCCAGGGAGTATGATTGCACCCCCACCCCCACAAAGAAAGAAAAAGCAATTTTGGAAAATTTGTTGAAGACACATCAACAAATTTTAGTGATGTTAACCCAAAAAGTCACACCCCCCCTTGACAATTGCTGCCTATGCCCATGCATTGTCTTGTTTATTGCTTTTACGCTTCATTTATTTCCCTTTTCAAATGGCTATGGTGGCATATTGTAATTACAGTCCATTTTAGTAATGCATGAATGAAGATACTTTAGAGTAATTCAATTTGATTATTTTGTTTTCTTTTTTTTTGAAGAAGGATGGATGATTTTTACTTTGAATTTGAAAATAGATGAATGTGACAAAATGCTGCATTGAAATTATTATCCCATTAAGAAAAAAAGTGCATGGTTCTTTATCAATCATATCATTTTGATTTTTCTGTTTTACCATCGCTTTGTTAACCAACATAAAAAAACATTATATTTGTATTCTATCCACCATTGCTCATCATCTTATTGATGACAGTTCATGGCAACCATAAAGGAAATATTATATTGATAAAAAAATGTATATGTATTCAGTATCAACCTGAATTGATTCATTGGATGTTAATATCCCAAAATGTGATTCTTAAAATTCTATGAAAACTATCAAAATTCGATGTCTTGACTCATTTTGGCACAAAATTCTCATTTTTCCAGTCCTGACAAAAAAGGTAAAAACGTCAATTTTCACAATTTTAAGGTTTTTACAATGGGGTGCAAGCTTATTTTCAATGATGGAAAAATTACCCTTTAAAAAATCCTGCTATGATATGATTTCAGGATGTCATATGGTGTCTTACAAGGGTCAAGTCCAGATGGGTCCCGACATGCTTGTGATCGCCAACATTACCAGTGAACAATGCAAGGCAGCCTGTCAGATAGATGAGAAATGTCAAAGTTCTACATGGGACAATAAAGATGGCTCTGTATCCTGTTTTATGCATAATAAACAGAAGGCAAGGTCGAAACAAAAAAATGCAGTTCACTTTAGGAAGATATGTGAAAGTAAGGATATCATCGATTTTCTCAAGTTAATTCTTTCTTTAATTAAAGCATAGAGAGATGGTGTTTCCAATAGGGAAGATATTTTGCAGAATATCTATCAACTGAAATTTCAGTTTATGATCCTAATTCCAACCAGAAATTCTATCACATGAGACAAATGATCCAACCGAGGCAAAAAAATAAATATAAGAATTATTAATGCTCTCAAACGATGAATATATTGCTCGTTCAATACAAAATAATAACTGTATAGTGCACTAAAAAATCATGTGATGTTATATGATGTGCAATACAATAAACATGTGAATAAAATGCAATACAATGTCTATTGAATACATACAGTATAACCCAATATGATGAATAAATGGTCTATAGAATGTGATATGATGAGCACTATCATCATATCATGAACAGTAAAACCTATCTAATCAAAGCACCACTGGCACTGGCTAAAAGTGTTTTGATTAGGAAGTGTTCACATCTTGGATAAGGAGGTGTTCTTATTTTTAATTGATTAGGAGGTGTTTACAATTTAGATTAAGAGGTGTTCACATTTTGGATCAGGAGGTGTTCACATGTTGAACCAGGATGTGTTTACATTTTGAATCAGGATGTGTTCACATTTTGGATCAGGAGGTGTTCATGTTTTCCTGTATATATGCATGCATTGAACTGAAATGTCATTTGAAAAATTTACATTTTTCATTCCAGGCAACAAGAAGCATGCTGTCAAAATCTCTTCATCTAGACCATCTTTCAAGGAGCTAGCAACAAAGTACCCTGATGTTGAGATAGGTGGACGCTGGAATCCCACAAATTGTACTTCACACCATAAGGTTGCCATCATTATACCATATCGAGATAGAGCAGAGCATTTACGGGTCTTTCTCAATAACATGCACCCGTTTCTACAAAAACAGGGTCTAGATTATGGGATCTATATTATAGAAGAGGTAAGACTTGTGACCTGTTAAGTCTAAGGTTTGAAGTTGATGTATATCACAGAATGTCATCATCTCTTTTGAATAATGGGACAGGGCAGGTTGTTTTTACAAGAAACTTCAATATTTTCATTCAATTTATTTTTTAACTGAAAAGCTGCTTATTAGCAGAGAAAATTAACAAGTACAAGCAATGACAATGTCAATTGGGCTTCTGATCAAAATTTATCGGAAATCATTTATGATCTAATACGGAAAAAGGCCTGAACATCCAGCACTTTGAATGATTGTTTATTCATTGACTTTTTGATGTTTTTTAACAAAGGCTTCTAATTATTATCCTGGATACTACATATTGAAATATTTCTTACTTCAAACAGGTACGCCGTCCTTTATTTAATTTGAAAAATAGCTACAGAGCAGAATGATTTTATCGGAATTTAATTGGCCAATTGGTCATCACTGTGTGTGTAACACTACTCTAGTTTTTAAGGCATAACGGTCAGATCCTCATTGCTATTTTTGTGGTGCATGCAGGCCCATAGCCAGGATTTGCCAAGGGGGGTTCACTTTTTGAAAATTTCCAAGGGGGGTTCACTTTTGACAATTTTGGTCCAAAAATGGCCAAAATCGCTTAAAATGTGCTCAGAATGATGAAAAACTGCATGATTTTGAAAGAATTTTTGGCCCATCAAACCCTTCCCCTGGCTCCGGGCCTGACATGTTATACATGTAGGCACTATTTTGCCTAGCCAGCAACCCACATAAACTGTTAGCAATCAGTTTCTGTAACAATTGTTACACTTGTATAACCATTTACAGGTGGTGGCATTTTGTTTATACCTTACTTTAAATCTTTCATGTTCACTATCATGAAATCTCTTAGTTTATCATTTTTATCCCATTGAACGAAGTTCGGAGGGATATAGGGAACGCCTCAGTCTTTCCGTCGTTTTAATTTCAATATAGTTTCCTATCCAGACCTTTCAGGAAACATTCCAAGAAAACAATCATATGGAGTCTATGTGTCACGGATAATAAGAATATCAAGAGTCTGCAGTGATGAAAAAATTGCTTCCGAAAGAATCCTTGGGGAAAAAATGAAATATCTCTTAGGATATAAAAAACATTGTCAGCATATATCAAAAAGACAATTGCAAAAAATAAATGGATACAGATAAAATACAAAAAGCCAAAAAATCAAATATTAAAGATATGGTCAGAGACTAATAAGGAAATGAGAAAAAAACAACAAGAACCAATAGAATCTAGATATCAGGCTCCGAAATGAGGGTAAACTTTAGAAGAAAAACAGCAACTAAAACAAACATCGATAAAGACAAAGGGGAAGGGGAGTGTTACTGGTACAGAAAGCTTTAACCAACCGACGTGTAGTCACAAGTCTGCAGACCCGACACCAAACAAGACCAAAGAGGAAAAGTAATATGGAGAAAGAAGACCAAGAAAGAAGAAACTAAAGAAGACAAGAAAGTAACAACAACAGAAAAAGAAAAAACTAAGAAGACAAAGAGTGAAAGAAAAAAACAAATAAAATCAGAAGAAATAAGAAGGAAACAACAGCAACTGCAAATAGATTTTCAAGCTGGACTGAATGATGATGACATGAACAGCATATAAACAAAACATCCGTCTGTCTAGGCAATTACTCAAATACCGTTGCCCCAATTTTGTTCATATTTTATACACATGTGCTCTATGGGGGTGGAAGTTCTGCTTGAAAGCCGATTTTCAAAATAGGTGCTCGTTTCAAAATTTAGGTACAGTATATAAAACTGGAATAGAAATGTGTTTTAAATGTAAAAAAGTTATATAGGACATTAATAATGCTAGACATGTAAATATTGAAGAAACACATGGCAGCCATCTTGAAAAATGGCAGCTTTTACACGCTATTTTACAATTTTTGCTATTACTTGAAAAGTAGTGGAGCGATATTGTTCATATTTGATATGTTACTACTTATTAGCATGGCTCACTGTTTTATGACACTTTGCCTAGAAGGTAGTCATTTTGAATTTTTGCTTTAACTGAGACTGTAGCAGAAGGATTTTGTAAAAATGGCAGCCATGGCTGTTGGATGGGATTTGCTACGCTTTGGCGTTAGTGTTGTCTAGTTTCACACTGCTGATGTGGTATGTTAAAAAATGATTCTTTCTATTAGCTGCAGACACATGTATGTTATATATAATTGCTATATGGAAATAAATCATCAATAAAAAAAATACCAGGTTGTTGATAAGTATAGCTTATTCAATTTTTTCCAGGCCCCGCCAACAAAATTCAACAGAGCGATGTTGATGAATATTGGCTTTAATGAAGCCAAACGCATGTACAACTACGACTGCTATATATTCCATGACGTAGATTTACTACCGGAGGATGATCGTAATCTCTATACATGTCCAGAAAGCCCAAGACACATGTCTGCAGCTGTAGATTCACTAGGATATAGGTAACCCACCCATGCCATATAAAATTAAGCTATGAAAGGCTTTAATATTGGTCATAAACAATTCAAATCGAGCATTGACATTGTCTCATTTCAGTAAGATGAAAGAAACATGTTTAAAAAATGTTTAACTTTGGTCAATGACTTCGGAGGAAATTTTAGCCATATAGAGAAAGTTGTCCTTCTGGCAACAACAAGTTCTGATTGGCTGAGCGAGTTCAGGGGTTTCTCTTTAATTGAATGAGGACCCTGGGATGTAGACGACATCTTTTAAAGTCCTAAGTGAAATTAATGCAAATTGTACTTACATATGGTCACAGTGGTCAAAGTCAATTTTGCTGTTTTAAAAACCATGTACCAAAAATTCTGGTGATATTTTTCTGAATCTATGTTACCATTGTACTGTTTCACTTGTAGGTTACCATACATTGATATATTTGGAGGTGTGAGTGCAATGAAGAGAGAACACTTTAAGAAGATCAATGGTTTCTCTAATATGTTTTGGAACATGAAATAACATGACATATTGTAGTGATATGTTACCATTGTACTGTTTCACTTGTAGGTTACCATACATTGATATATTTGGAGGTGTGAGTGCAATGAAGAGAGAACACTTTGAGAAGATCAATCATTCAATGGTTTCTTCAATATGTTTTGGAACATGAAATAACATGGCATATTGTGGTGATATGTTACCATTGTACTGTTTCACTTGTAGGTTACCATACATTGATATATTTGGAGGTGTGAGTGCAATGAAGAGAGAACACTTTGAGAAGATCAATGGTTTCTCTAACATGTTCTGGGGCTGGGGTGGAGAGGACGATGATCTTGCAGCCAGGTCAGTATAGTGTTAAAAATTTTCATTCGATTTAAAGGAACATTCCTCATTTACTATGTTGCAACTCCCTGTTAGTTTGAAAAAGTAAAAGCCTATTAAAGTCTATGGGAGGCACATTGGAGAATATTGAGGAACACAAAATCGTATTTTTGTAGTAAGAGGGTAGTGTCAGGCCCATAGCCAGGGAGGTTCAGGGGGTTCTACCAACCCCTCCCCTCCTCCTGGCCAAAATTCTTTCAAAATCATGCAGTTTCCGCCATTCTGAGCATGTTTCAAGAGGTTTTGGACTAAAATTGTCAAATGTGAACCCCCTTGGAAATTTTTGAAAAGTGGAACCCCCTATTGGAAAATGTTGTTGCTAGATGAAAAGGATTCCTGATCAAACTAATTGAAAGGGCAGATTCTTGATAGATTGAAGACTTACTTTGTTTGGTTCTAGGGTGAAGCATCATAAACTGAAAATAACACGTTACCCAATGGAAATAGCCCGCTATAAGATGATAAAGCATGCCAAGGATACTCCAAACCCTAGCAGGTAAGTCTATGCCAGAGCCACAGATTCCCACACGCCAGGACGCCAGATGCGCCTAACTTTGGCCCCGGGCGCCAAACAAATCAAATTTACACATATTCCTGGCGTACAGGAGTTCCCACTATAATATACCTGTTATCCTATCATTTCAATCGTGAAAATTGGTGAAAAGACGAAGATTTCACGTGAATTTATTGCTGCTTTTGCTAGATCAGCTGATCGATATTTACAATTTTTTCGAAAGTGTGCTTTCCCGGCATCAATTTAGTGGTAAGAATGTAATTGAGATCGTTGATAGGCCCGATTGACGCGCAAAGTATGCTGGGAACTATTCCTTATCTTGAAGTTTTAATATTTTGTCTCCCTTTTGTGTCTCGCGTTTTGATTGGTCTAATTTTCGGCAATGTGAATAATTTGACCAATCATTGTGCAGATAAGTTTTGAATTTGAATTTACCGCCATTTTAAAGTTCATCATGAATTCTTTGACCAATCAGCTTCATTCCCTCTGACCTTTCACATGTGGTCATGTGACCAAAACATCAAAACATGGATTTGGAAAAAATATTTACTTTTCTCTAGTTTTGATCATTTTTAGCTGATCATATCTTCTTAATGAATAGAAATGTGATCAGTTCAGACCAGATTGAAGTTTTCAAGAATATAGGCTGTGATTATGAGCTCTGTGAGCTTTTGAAAGCCGATAATGGACATTCATATTTGAAAAGATTTTTTTCCAAAAAACGAATCGATTGAAATAAGTTCTGGTCTCTGACTCCGAGCCGATGAAGAGTCATTCCAGGTGTGAGTAGCGGTTTCAGTGGAGTAATCATAGTATATTTATGTACAGTCATGTTTGTCAACACAGAAAAACTGATAGCTGTAGCCATGGGCGTAGCGCCCGGTACGCTGGGTACGCACAGGCGTACCAGATGGTTACCAGATGGAAAAATAGCGCTACGCCCATGATGTTTTATAAATTGGTGAAGTTATTAAGGATTCAAAGTGCAAATATGGGGGAAAGGTGTTTCAATTCTACTTAATGGATAAAAGTGGTTACCATAGAAATACGAAAATAATACATTATTGTAAAAAACTTGAATTTTCCTGGAATAAACTATACACTTTGGGTATTTTTAGAAACTAGACATGACAAGGAATGATATGAGCCTAAAATATTCTAAGATTGAAACAATTGTGTCGTTTTCTTGCTTGCTAGATCTGATTCTCTCTTTAAGGTCTCTTGGTCAATGACAATCTAACAAATGAGATTAAGTGTTTTGGGAAAGTGGGACTTCAGCGCTAAGAAGATATAAATGTTCCTGTACCTTAAATATAAAGAAAAAATGTAGGGAATGGGAATTAATAAATATTGTCAACGACAGCATTTAGACTAACCACTTAGATCAAGTGCTCTGCAATTTTGGGAAAGAAGGATTTTGAGCACTAGAAATAAAACAGAGATAAAGGTTCCTGTACCTGAAATATAAAGAAAAAAATATAGGAAATAGGAATTAATAAATATTGTCAAAGACCATATTTATACTACCCGATAGGACCAAGTGCTCTGCAATTTTGGGACAGTGAGCCCTAGAGATGAAACTTAAATGAAGGTTCCTGTCCATGAAATATTAAGAAAAAAATGAAGGGAAATAGGAATTAATAAATATTGTCAACGACAATTAATCTTTAGACAAAGTAATGAGATCAAGTGCTCTGCAATTTTGGGAAAGTGGGAGTTTTAGCTCTAGATAAAGAAAAAATGGAGGGAATAGGAATTAATAAATATTGTAACAGCAATATTTAGACTAACCAGTAACCAATGTGACCAAGTGCTCTGCAATTTTGGGAAAGAGGGACTGTCAACAACAATAGTTAGACTAACAAATGAGATCAAGTGCTCTGTAATTTTTGGGAAAGTGGGACTTTGAGCGCGAGAAATAAAACAGAGATAAAGGTTCCTGTACCTGAAATATAAAGAAAAAATGTAGGAAATAGGAATTGATAAATATTGTCAAAGACCATATTTAACTACCCAATGGGACCAAGTGCTCTGCAATTTTGGGACAGTGAGCCCTAGAGATGAAACTTAAATAAAGGTTCCTGTCCATGAAATATTAAGAAAAAAATGAAGGGAATAGGAATTAATAAATATTGTCAAGGACCATATTTAACTACCCAATAGGACCAAGTGCTCTACAATTTTGGGAAAGTGGGACTTTGAGCACGAGAAATAAAACAGGGACAAAGATTCCTGTACCCGGAATACTTAGCCATCATTGAATATACTGTATGCCTGAGGTCTGTCTTTAATATAGCCTGAGCTTGCAAGGTCTATATTAAGACAGACCGAAGGCATATGTTCAATAATACAAACATAACAAACAAACTTTGTTGTATTACAATTAACTACCCAATGGGACCAGGTCAGGCCCGTAGCCAGGGGGGGTTTGCAGGGTTCGGGCAAACCCCCCCCCCCTGGCCAAAAATTCTTTCAAAATCATGCAGTTTTTGACCATTTTGAGCACTTAAGTGATTTAGCCTAATTTGGGCCAAAATTGTCAAATGTGAACCCCCCCCTGGAAATTTTTGAAAATTGAACCCCCCCCCTTGGCAAATCCTGGCTACGGGCCTGCAGGTGCTCTGCAATTTTGGGACAGTGAGCCCTAGAGATGAAACTTAAATAAAGGTTCCTGTCAAAGAAATATTAAGAAAAAAATGAAGGGAATAGGTTATTAATAAATATTGTCAAGGACAATATTTAACTACCCAATAGGACCAAGTGCTCTACAATTTTGGGAAAGTGGGACTTTGAGCACGAGAAATAAAACAGGGACAAAGATTCCTGTACCCGGAATACTTAGCCATCATTGAATATACTGTATGCCTGAGGTCTGTCTTTAATATAGCCTGAGCTTGCAAGGTCTATATTAAGACAGACCGAAGGCATATATTCAATAATACAAACATAACAAACAAACTTTGTTGTATTACATACTTTTATTTCCTTGGCTTGTCTAAATCAATGATGTCACATCTTTGCGTGAATGGAATAAAACATGGTGTCATTTAGATTGTCGTGGTAAAAAGTTTGGCGGCTATACAGAAATATAAAGCTGACCTTCAGCTCCATTGACTTCAATACAAATGCTTTGCTATGTATATAATACAAAGAGAAAAATTATAGGAATAGGAACTAATAGGAAATATTGTCAACAACAATATTTAAACTAACCAATGAGACCAAGTGCTCTACAATTTTGGGAAAGTGGGACTTGAGCACTAGAAACAAAACAGAGATAAAGGTTCCTGTACCTGAATTATAAAGAAAAAATGTAAGAAATAGGAATTAACGAGATCAAGTGCTCTACTATTTTGGAGAAGTCTACTTTGAGCGCTAGAGATGAAACTTAAATAAAGGTTCCTGTCCATGAAATATAAAGAAAAAATGTAGGAAGTAGGAATTAATGAGATTAAGTGCTCTACAATTTGGAAAAGTCTACTTTGAGCACTAGAGATGAGACGGAAATAAAGTTTCCTTTCCATTTAAGATAATTGTAGGGTACAGAGCTTAAAAATATTGTGAGTGTGTCAACACACTCAGTGATCGGAGAAAATAAACAGAGGGGGAGTACCCGATTTTTGCTTGAAAATTCAACAAACCTGGAAGATTTATTTTTTTCAGAGAAAGTTTATGATTGAATTGCTAAATGAATAGGCCCACAACATGGGGATTTTATATGTTAGGTCTTCCAGGATTTTCTTTTTGAACCGATAGGCTTCTAAGATATATAAGATCTATTAAAAAAGGCACAGCATCACCAACGTGCAAATGTCAATGTTTTTGCTTTAAATCAAGCAATGGTCTACTTGACTGGCCTGTAATAAAAACTAAGTGACATTTTTATCACAAAATTAATTAAATGTCATTGCTGGTTTTTTGAAAGTTTTCATATGTTAGATAAAAAATTATCAAAATTGAATGGAGGGGGAAGTGATGTGTCTGTAAGACATGATAAGAGATGTAAATTGACTTTATTTCAAGAAATGATAAGATCATAAGTCTGAGAACATGCACAGTATAAAAAATCAACTCGAGTGCCCTAAGTGAGATTATGCCTATGGATATTATGATTTTGATTCATATGAAAAATAACACATTAAAGTTATAATGAATGTGTTATGTCTAGCTTATTCAAACAGGTGTCAATGATAATACAATATCAATGATAATGACAAATTCGGAGTCAGAAATGCAATCTGAAAGATGTTTGTACTTTTTAAAGACGCATTATACTTTCAGTAATGAATTTAAGTTAAGAAAGTTATTGATATTAAATTATAAAAATTATTAACTATAAATATGATGATATTACCCACTGTGGTGTTGCATATTTGTATAAAAAGAGTTATACTCTCTAAACTAGTAAGAATTTGATGCAATTTAATGCCATTTTCTTTGATTTATTATATTTACTTCAAAGTTTCTGTATTGCATCTAAACAATTTAGATAATGTATGTTATACTGTTATATATTATATGTTTTGTGATTGCTTTGCAATAATTTTTGATATATGCACTGATACGCCCAATTACTAAGGGTGTTGAGTGCACATGCTTTGTACATTCCATTGTTATATTATCATGAAATAAAATAAAAACTAGATGTATAAGATTGCAAGCAATCGTATAAAGATTGCAAGCAATCTTACGGAGGCCCCGTAGGCTTTTTTGAACATTTAAAGGTCAGCCAAAGGTCAAATCTTAAAAACAAGGACATATATGAACTCCAGGCATCTTGTAGATGATTTTTAAAAAAAAGTTTGGTCAATTTGAAGCAATGTGAAATTTGACCTTGAAAAATTTCAGCATTAGACCTTTTTCAGTTTTTGAGGTCCAATATCTCAAAACTGGTGCAGAATTTTAATAGATAATCAATTGTTATTATGTGTAAAACCTTTAGAGGAATATATATCCTGACTTTAATTCAAAAATATTGATTT